ATATCCCAGCCTTCAAAACTGTGAACCCAAATGAAATTCTTTTCTTTATAAATTACCCAATCTATGGAATTTTGTTATTGCAGGAGAAAATAGGCCAAGACAATGACCTGCTAGGTCTGGAGGGGGGCACAGTCCCAAGCCATGGTATAGGTTTCCAGGATGGCCCCATCTGTCGGCCTCTTTCATTCATCCCTTATTGATTCATTTTTATTTTTATTTTTATTCATTTTTATTCATCCCTTATTGAGCAAATTGATTCTGCTCTCAGGCTTAGCTTTTGCTCTTTCCCCACCTGCATGTCCTCATCCCTCCTAGCAACTTGGAATTTTTTCTCCAACTGCTGAGGACCCCAGTAGTTGTACTGTGCTTTTTTATTTCACTATTTAGGCCCTTACCATATTTCACCATGCTTATTTGAGTACCTAACAAGATAAGTAAGACTTGCTCTTTTAAATGTCTTACATCTGTGGTGTACCTACTCGGAGTTACAGTGGATAGTAACTATATTGTTGTTTATATTTGAAATATTGTTCTATCAAGTTCTCTTCTCTAACCATTTCCCCCTAAATGCATTTTCCCTAACTTCTTCCATTAGACTTGGAATAAAGTCAGTTAATCTTTCTCTATGTCATCACACTGAACTTTGAGTACTATAAAGGAAATTTTTTAAAATTTATTTTTTGTTTTTCCAAGTCTTGGCTTCTAATAAAGGTGATTAATTAACAAAGAAATGGTTGAAATTAATAATGGCTTGCTATCGTTACCTATTGAGTTCTTATTTTGTTCTAAACAGTATTCAAAGCAGTTTACGTATATCAATACATTTAATTCTTGTGATAACATTTAATTCTTATAACATATGTGCCTTCCCATTTAAGTAAAGAAAACAGAAGAACAGAGAGATAATCTATCATCAAAAGTTACATACTAGAACATTTCAGACCTAGGATTGAATGATTAATTGATTTTTTTTTTTTTTAATACTGAGGATTTAACCCAGGCGCACTTTACCATTGAGCTGTATCCTCCATCCTTTTTATTTTTTTTTAAATTTGAGACAGAGTCTCACTGAGTTCCTTAGGACCTCCCTAAGATGTCAAGGCTGGCAAGGTACAATCCTCCTGTCTCAGCCTCCAAGTTACTGGGATTTCAGGCATGTACTACTGTGCCTGGCTCAGACCTAGGATTTAAATCCAACAGAATGCATTGACTTGCTCCTTGAAAGATCAAATAGTGGAAAGGAGTGACAACAACTGTCTTGGATAAACCCATCTTTGTCCTTAATACCTAGAATATTTTTCAGAATATTTGATAAGTACTGGGGACCAAGATTAAGAAAGCAGAACCAAAAGCAAGTGGAAGATTGCATAATTGCTTTATAAATTTACAAGTTTGAGAAAGCCATTTGTGATAGTTAAGTCGTGGTCTTTTTTTTGTCCTTGATTGTTTTTACTATGAAGGCTAGCTAACAGTAGTAAAACCTTAATTAATGTTTCTGAGTCACACATTCATCTTATGAGACCGTTTGGATATCTTGCTTCTACTTATAATAAAGACTAGATTATTTTATGAGTTTTATTTTCATGGAGCAGAAAAAAGCTATTGATTAATATGAACTGTTCATTCATTAATAAACAAAACCTCATGATGTAATATTTTGTCCAATGGAAATAGATAAGCAGTGATATTTCTCAGGCAAAAAGTGAATATTTCAACTGCTAGTTCAGTATGCTTTCATGGACATTTCAGAGACTTATCTTCTCAAATTGACTTCTGCAAGTTAACTTTTTGGGAAAGTAGTTTTCTGATTTGGGCAGCTTGGATATATGAAGAAACAGGCAATTTCTAATATTCATTAACCAGACCTCAGTTTTCTTAAAAATTCAGAAAGTTAAACTGCATTAAGGCACTAGTTCTCACACTTTCATGTGCATAGGAATTCTATTACAATACAGATTTCTAGGCCCCATCCTTGGGGAACAGCTTGCTCCTCAGGTGATTCTGATGTAGATGTTCTTAGGGCATCAGAATAAGATGGAGGGGGGGGGGACATGGAGTGCAAGGTGCAGAAACTCAATGCACTGGAGACCCAGGCACTCAAGTGCTGCAGAGCTGATGGGCTTTTCATTAGGGCTATTTAGGAAGCTGTTAGAAGAGTTCAGTCCTTCTATTAGGTCCCATGTAGGACCCACGTTTGCTGTTACTTAGGTAGACACCCTTACAAACCCAGCTTGCCCTTGTGGTAAGAACCACTGATTTCCTGTGTAACCATAATCTCTTGGATTGTGGGAAAAGGAAATCAGTCTGCAGAGGGCTGAATGTTAACTGTGAGCAGCTGGGGTGGGACTAGGTCAGGAGGCAGAGCTGGAGAAGGAGAGGGATCCAATGTCTAAGACATTTAGCTATTGACTTAAGGAGATTCCCAGCCTGCAGGCTGCACCCGAAGAGGAGCACACAAAGCTATTGCAAAGGGAAAGACTGTATTATGCAGGAGAAATTACTTCCTCCCTTTCCTTTCTTCCTCCTTCCCTTCCCTTTGCTTCCCTCCCTACCTGCTTCTTATCTCTGAGAACTGATATGCTCCCTGGTTTAGGTCTGCTTGGCCCTTTGAGCTTTGAATAGTTTAAAAGGATGGGATCATTTATTCCTGAAATAAAAGAAAAAAAAAAAGCCAGAAGGAGTAGATCCTAGTTGGGAGAAAAGCCAAGGAATGTCTTCCACCCCCAACAAACACAGGCTAGATCCCACTGGAGACAGAGAGCCAAGAAGGAAAAGATAAATGCCCAAGGAGATTTCCAGGTGGTTTCTGTGGGCTGTGTGCAGTAAACCTCCTTCTTTGTCTCAAATCGAGAAATCCACAGTAATTCTGCATGCCTCATTAATACTTTTAACAAGAAGCTTCTTTTATGAGACCTCATAGAGGAAAATGAGACAATTTAGCTTTCTGAGGTTTCATACATGTTCTTTAAACATTATCTTAGATTTGGTGAGTCATTTTTTCCCCCACCTATGCTAAAATTTTTCCAAAGTATATACTCTGTGGATGTTGTGAATGATCAAATACAAGTGGTTTTCAAAAGTTTTTCACAGTAGACTTTCATGTAGATTTTTCTTAATCACTTTTATGGTGGGTTGGGTCTGAAGAAATTTTTGACTTTAAAAACATGGTTTCCTCATATTTAAATACTGTCTGCTATTGGAATAAAGAACTTACCTCCTTATGCAATAGTGTACAGACTCTCTATTGACCATTTTCTGGTGGATTTTTAGAAAGAGGCAGGGTATGTTGCATTTTGATTTGTCTTTAGCAAAATATCAACCCTGGATAAATACAGAGGGGTTATGAAAAATCATGTTTGTTTGTTTGTTTGTTTATTCATTCATTCCATATTTTTACTGGTACATTATACATAATGGTGGGATTCATCGCTACATGTCTGTACATGCATACAGTATAACAATTTAACTTTGTCATTGTCATTCATCAGTATTTCTCCTTTCCCTTCCCTCCTCCCACCCCTGGTCCCTTTCCTTTACTCTACTGGTCTCATGATGGAGAAACCAGATGTAATTTTAAAATGAAATTATAAGAACATTATGATAAAGAACCAATGCCTGGGAAAATAGTTAATTTTCCTCCCCTGTCAGCATTTCTACAGGGAACCTAATTAACCATGGGTTCCCTACCTATTGGATTGTAAATAGCTGTTCTCTGGGAGTCTGACTACCCACTCTTCAAATGTAAACACCCCTTTGCCAGGCTTTGAAGGCCAGAGATTCAACAGATGCCTTATACTTTGTAACTTTCTAAATTGTAAGAATGTAGCTACATCATTTAATTGCTAGGCCAATGAACTGCTGTCTAAACTATAACCTCATAGGCTTAGTTCTTAAAAATATAGCTCTTAGGGAGGTAAACTTAAGTTATCTTGAGTGACTGCTACCTGTGGTGAAGGCCATACTCACAAGCGTTCTCTACTATCTTTGTTCTATACCTGTGAAGTACTTATGGTAAATTTCCTGTGCATGGTCTTTGGTCATGTAGGCCAAGAATTCAAACCTACCAGTGTTGTAATGGTTAAAAAAATAAGGTCAAATTTCCTATAAAAGCCCCATGTAACCTTGGTGCTCAGAACCTCAGATCACTAGCTAGTTGGGAGAAAAGCCAAAGAAGGCTTTTGTGTAAATAAACCTGAGTTCTTCAACCCTAGGAGTGGTGCTTGTCTCTTTCTGTGTGCAATTTCCATAACAGTCTCTCTTCAATTTTCATGAGATCCCCCTAACTTCCAACTTTCTTTCCCTTTTTCCCATCTAGCTTTCACATCTGAGAGAAAACATACAGCCTTTGACTTTCTTTTTTTTCTTTTTTGATACCGGGGAATGAACCCAGGGGTACTTAACCACTGAGACACTTCCCCAGCCCTTTTTATATTTTATTTTGATACAGGATCTTGCTTAGGGCCTTGCTAAATTGCTGAGGCTAGCTTTGAACTTGCAATCCTCCTGACCTCAGCCTCAGGAGCATTGGGATTACAGGCATGTGCCACTGTGCTCAGCTAGCCCATTTTTATTTATCCATTTATCCATTGAAAGACACCTAGGCTGGTTCCGTAGTTTGGCCATTGTAAATTGTGCTGCTATAAATGTGGGTATGCATGTGTCACTATAGTATATTAACTTTAATTCTTTAGGATAAATACCAGGATTGGTATAACTGGGTCATATGGTGATTCCATTCCTAGTCTTTTGAGGAACCTCAATACTGATTTTCATAGTGGTGGTGCTGATTTATAGTCCCACCAACAATGTAAAAGTGCTCCTTTTTCTGAATCTCCTTTCCAATATTTATTATTGAAAAAGCATGTTTTTTTAAAGACTGTTGGATTACTTTTAAAAACTGTTGCATTAATTGGACTTTTTAATTGTTTGCAGAAAGTCCATCTGTTGCTGAGTCAGCACATGTAAATTCAGAAACATTGATTCCGTTTCCTTTTCTACAGGCACTGTTATGTGGTCTACTTGTTACATGTCCTGAGGATCCACTGAGATATTTAGAGAGAATGATCATGGCTATCATTGAAAATGGTCTTGAAAGTCTTCATTGGTAAATATTGTTTTGATTTATGATTGGGAAATATTTTATTTTGAGGGCAAAACACACATTGTATAGTATCAAAATAAGGTCTTGCCAACGAATGCTTCTAATCTCGGTTATTAACAAATGCCTCTATAGGCTGTTAGGTCCCATATACTTACTGTGAATAATATGTTCACTGGTTCTCAACTTGAGAAATATAGCATATTCTCATAAACATGATCATAGGGCAGATTTTTTCAAGGATAAGGATAAGGAAAGGCAGGTACACTCTCCTTGGGGGATCTAAACAAAATCTTGGGGAGGTAGTATGAAGACTTTCAGGTAATTCCGGTCTGTTTCTCTCAAGGGAAAATGTCTCTTCTTTCTCTTCCCTTCCTCTCCACCCACAAGAAAAACTGATTTAATTATGAAATTATTACAGAGCTGGGGCCTTCTAAGACACTGAAGCAGTGTGAAGAACCCCCTTTTAGGTCATGATTCTTGTGATCAAGTCAGAGGATTTTAGATGTGTCACTCCGAGTAATAGGAATGAGTTTATTGAAGGGATACAAAAAAGGGAAAGAAGATACTCTCAAGGGAGTAAGTAGGTCCTCTCAGAGGAGAGGGACAATGGGCCTCTCATGCACTCCAGTTTTATTGGGGATCCCAGAGAAGTTTTCAGGAAGCCCCACACAGGTCCACCTCTTGACTTTTGACTGACAGCAAGATGACATCAGATTTTCAGGTATCCACTGTCATGGCAACTCTAGGTCTTCTTGGTCTATGCTGACTGGTTCTAATTGAATTCTTAACTATACGTTCTTACAGATTTTATGGTTAGGAAGAACTATCTCCCAGAGTTTCAGGATATGGTCACAAAAGTCTCCTGGGTTCCTCCCATCAACATTACCTTGGGCCTGCATTTCTCCTGCAGTTAACAGGTAGTTTGATGAGGCAGGTGATATATCCTGTCCACTTATACCAGGCAGGGCTGCAGGTAAATTCCTTCTTGGGAAAGAAAGTATTTTGGAGTCAGCACAGTGGGCCCATACTATAGAATTATTCTCTTAACCTCATGTTCCCACCATCCTCATCTGTCTTTTCCCTAACAGAACTATGAAATGAAATTAATTTTGACCTTGTTTTTTGATTTTATTAAAGGGATATGTGCATTGATCCATTGATGAAACAAAATGTTCGAATATTATCTGAAACTTGCCTGGAACAACTTTTTGGACTGGATGATCAGCTGGTAATTATTATTAACCAAGCATTTTAAAATATAAATCTTGAATTCTGATGGAAAAACTCAAGTAGATTTTAGATTTTATGGGAGTTCAAACTGTTTTTGGAACTAGGGACACCTTCAGAAGTGAAAGAATTACACACACACACACACACTCACACACACACACACAGAGCCAATACTCAGTAACTGCCTCAAATTTCCAAGAGCACTTGCTTGTTCCTGTTTTTGAATGCCTGCTTTTCCCCTTTCTCTCTCTCTCACCTCTCATACACAGAAGAAGCATTATGGAAGGCTATAAAAGAGGATGTCTTCCTTTGTTTCTAATCTGCTTTCTTCTGTGTCACATTCCCGTTCATTGTCTCTGGCTGCCCTGGCAGATGAGAATAAAGGAATTCTACTCAAAGAGACATGGGCAAAACATTAAATGTGGTCTAACTCAAAAGCCAGACCTTACTTCTCCTTAAAGGAACAACCCTCTCAAGCAGCTATTTTTGATTCTGTAAGTGGGCAATGAAGTAATTCAGGAGATAGAGACGTGAAGAATAAAGGTTGTGTACATAAGAGGAGCTAAAATAGCAAAAAGCATGTGGGGTGAGAAATAACCCTACAAATTCTATGTGTGTACAGTATGCAATACCTTTTAATTCCAGAGGTATTGGCCGTTCCTGGTCAGGGCTTGAGAGTTGCTGGTGAAGTTGGTCATTGAAAGTTGGAATCAAAGCCACATTCAAAGTGGGTGCTGAGAGCCAGGAACAATTTAGAGTATCCATTTACAGGGATCATTGGAAAGTACCATTGGTTCCTCATCAGTGGTCTATAATAAAGAATCAGAGAGATCAGACAATTTCTGCCAACTCTGGGATGAACTGGAGGGGCGAGTATACTATGTAGAACCCAAATGCCTGATCTTAGTTGATCTGCATCATGATGTGTAGATAACTGTTCTTTATCAACCATAGAGTTTTGATCTACTAAAGAGTACAGATACCTGCAAACTATGTTCTTGGAGATATTTGGGGGGGTCATCTGAAGAGGTGAAGGGGAAGCCCAGGGGACAGAATTGAGTCTTCCAACCCTACCTCTTCACTCTAAGATAGTTTTGCTTTCAATATAATTTTGCTTGAGGGTGTGTGTGTGGGAAGCCTGAAGACTTAATTTCTTAAAATTGCTATAATCTTTGAAAACTACTATCTCTTTGATCTAGAGTAGTATTGACAGTGATTTTATAAGATCTAAAAATCATGCTGTCTCCAGTGTCTATGGAAGCCTATAGTTAGTCTTTAAATAATTGCACAGAATTCATATATGCTTCAAACTTAAAGTTGTTTTAGAAAAGAAATTCTCAGATATTTCATGATGTTGAAAGCACAAAGAATAAAAATGATGGAAGCTGATCCAAACTTTGAAAGAAGTATGACAATTTTCCAAGGCATAGAAAAGATGCTTACTTCATACAATAAGTGGAAATAAATAGAAATCAGATATTACTCTGTAACAGTGATGAAGAAAGTATTCATTAAGGTTGGATATGAAAATGTGAATCTCCAGCTACTCTATGATTGCTTATTTTGAGGGCTCAACCTAGGCTGGTTTTAGATTCATTCATTTCTCCTTCACTTTCAGAGAAAAATGAAGTGCTTTTTTTTTCTTTTTGTTACAAAGAAGTTAAAACACTGTAATCCTCGGTGTTTTTGATATTTTAAATTATAGCTACTAAATATTAGCTTCACTTAAAAATAATTTGCATTCACATCATTTCCTATGCAGTTATAACTGCAGTAAAAGGATTTTTAACATTTTTAACCAAAAACCTGAAGATCATAAAAAATTGTAATTTTTCACATTGTTTAATATTTCTTTGCTGGGTTTCATAGTCTCATACCCTATAGGCCTTCTCAGTAAGGGCTGCCTACATATGCTTATTTATAAAGCATAAATAATTATTTTTACTTAGAAAAGAGTGAATATAGGAAACTGTGAGCGAGCCAAATAGTTACCAAATAAAGTTGAAATTTCATCACAGGAGAGAGGAAGACTGTGTGTTCCAAGATGAAAGAATCAACCATTGTAAGGAAGAAGCTAACTTCACAGACTTAATTCTCATTTCTTAGGAAATTAAGTCTCCAGATGGATAGTCTAATTATAAGAAACAGCATATATAATGTTTTAAAAAATCTTTTTATTATGGAAAAATTGAAACATAATGCAAAAGTAGAATACCATATTCATCACTCATTATCCAGCTTGAGCAATGGTCAACAATTTGCCAATCTTGTTAATTTAGTCCTCTTTCCACTCTTTGTGTGGAGTATTAGAAAATATGTTCCAAAAATTTTATATATATACACACACACACATACATATAAACATACATTTACCAATAAATGTTTCAGTTGCATCTTTGACAGAAATGGCAGTTTTAGAAAATATAAACATAGTGTCAAGGGCAGAGAAAGAAGGTTGCTGAGTAGGATGCTCAGCTGATCATCTCCCCACAGATACCCCAAGTTACAAACTACTCACACACCAAATGACCTTCACAGGAGCTAAGGAAATCAGGTAAGAGACTACAGTGCCTGATTTTAGTTTAACAGAACAAAAGGATGTACTGAAGAAAGCAGAAAGAGAAAAGAGTTGCCCACATCATTCCTTCCCCTAACTGTAAACAACCCAGTGTGGAAAAAGCTGCCTTCTGCTTGGGAGAAGTAGACAGAATTAAGTCCAGGCTTTAGATTTGAAACCCAGTACCAGGCCTGCCACGTAAAACCCAGTAATGGGCCAAGCCTCAGGGCTCCTCTGGCCAGGTCAACAACAGCAGAGTGTGACCAGCTGAGACACTGAACTGTCTTAGGCCAGGATGTTGGCTCCTTCTACTAGGCTTCCTCCAAGAGCAGCAGATTAGGGAACAAGATTCTATGCTTAGGGAGTAACACATAAAAGGTAGCATAGGGCTTTTTCTTGGAGGAGCTCGGTGCCCAATAGAAACTGAAGGCCACATACTCAGGCAAGAGGTCACAGAACAGCCCCTGCATCAGGCAGAGGCTAGAGTGCCAACAGGGCAGACTTCAGTTTTTATCTGTATCATTTCAAAGCTGGAGCTGGCCAGGAGCACATCCACCCTCCTCCACAGAGAGTGCAGGCCCTGCAGCTATGAGATCAGGTTTCTTACAGTTTAGCAACAGCCTTGGTAGCCAAGGGACTCTAATACCTGTTCCCAACCTTAGACAGCATAGCTGTTGCCAGACCAGGTGCTCTAGAAATGGCCTGGCAACAGGCAGAGACCTATGCTCCAGTGAGACAAATTTATGCTTTGCCTGCATAACTGCTAGCTGTAATGTGGGCCCCAGTAGAACCCTGAGATTATGCAGGTTCTTATGGCTGTAGGATTCAGGCTTGATTCAACTTAGTGTCAATCTAGGTGGCAAGGGACTGCTTCACCAATATTATCCCAACCTCAGACAGATTCAATGTCCAATACCAAAAAAAAAAAAGTCAAACTTTATGCCAAATTTTGAAATAATGCAATCCTCCAAATCAAATTTTTCTTGAGAAGCATTACCTTTCAAAGCTGACAGAGAAATTAATTCAAAGTTTTATTTAAGTTCTTGCCATTCTGACTTGAATGAGATGGAATATCAATGTAGTTTTGATTTGCATTTCCCTTATTGTTAAGGATGTTGTACATTTTTTTCATGTATTTGTTGATTTTTTACATTTCTTCTTTTGAGAAATGTCTGTTTATTTCATTTGCCCATATATTGAATGAGTTATTTTATATATTTATTTATTTTGGTGTTAATATTTTTGAGTTCTTTGTATATTCTGGATATTGATCTCCTGTTGGAAGAGTATTGGCAAAGTTTTTCTCCAATTGTGTAGGCTCTCTTTTCATACTCTTGTTTCCTTTGCTGTGCATAAACTTTTTAAAATGAAGGCATTCCACCTATTAATTACTGACATTTTTTCTTGAGCTTTAGGAGTCTTATTCAGGAAGTTTGTGCCTACACTAATATGTGGGAGTGTTGAGCCTATGTTTTCTTCAAGCAGTTGTGACATTTCTGGTCTAATATCCTAAGTCTTTGGTCCACTGTGAGATTATTTTTGTGCAGGGTGGGAGCTAGGGACCTAGCTTGATTTTTCTACATATGGATATACCATTTTCCCATTACCATTTGTTAAAAATGCTTTCTTTCTCCAACATATGTTTTTTTGTATGTTTGTAAAGGATTAGATGATTGTATCTATGTGGATTTTTTTCCCTGCATGTTCTATTCCATTATGTTGGTCTTCATGTCTGTTTTTGTGCCAATACCATGCTGTTTTTGCTACTATTACTTTGTAGTATAATTTGAGATCAATTATTGTGAAGCCTCCAGTATCTTATTGCTCACTATTGCTTAAACTATGCTGGTTGTTTTATTCTTCCCTATGAATTTTAGGATTTAAAAAAATATTCTGCAAAGAGTGTCATTGGTATTTTGATGGGGCTTGCATTGAATCTGTATAATCGCTTTGATACTTTTAATATGTTTTAAAATGCAGATTGCTAATATTTTATTAAGAAATTTTCTATGGCCATTTTGACAGAATTAACTCTGCTCATCCAAAATCATAGTAGATTTTGCCATCTTCTAAGGCTATCTTTAATTTCTTTTTTCATGTTCTATTGATTTTCTCTGTAGAGGTCTTTTACTTCCTTGGTTAGATTTATTCCTAAATATTTTATTATTTTTGAGGCTACTGTGAATGGAATTGTTTTCCTGCTTTCTTTCTCAGCTGATTCATTTTTGGAGTGTAGGAAAGTTACAGATTTTTATATGTTAATGTTATAATCTGCTACTTTGCTGAATCTGTTTATTAGTTCCAAAAATCTTTTTGGTGGAGTACTTTGGATCTTCTAAGTACAGAATCATGTCATCAGCAAACAGAGATAATTTGACTTCTTCTTTTTCTATTTGTATCCCTTTAATTTCCTTTTCTTGCCTGATTGTTTTAGATAGAGT